TCTGAATTGATTAACTCATAATATTATTTTATGACAGTCATATATGGTATATTAATTTACATAAAATATTGTATTATAATTAATACCATTTAAATTTAAAATGTTACGACTGAATCAATTTTCTTTAAAAGAAGTCATTATTTGATTGGGTAATTAGATTTTGAATTAGAGCGATAAGGGAAAATTTTTTAAAATGTTAATGAAAATTTAATTTTCAATCAATTAAATCCAAATATTAATAACTTGGAGATAAATTGTTAAGTTTAAAAGTTCAATTCTATTAGATAATTAGATTTGACTTTAAAAAAAAAGCCAAAAACGAATTTGTCATATATTTTCAATTAAAGTGTATATGGCTTTACTTTCTTTATACCGAAACTTTAATGGGTTCATATTAAAGGCATGAAAAATAATAAAAACATCATTTTTGGCGTGGGAAGGTATGCGTTTTTGTAGAAAAACATGGACTAATGTTTTTTTTTTTTTTTTGGTATGGATCACCCAGTATCTTGAAGCTTACTGTGCCACCGACTAATTCGGATTCAAGCCGGGCAGGACTCAATTTTTTTTTTTTTTTTTTGTTAGGTTATGCAGGAAAATCTATATAGCAAAGTAGGATTTGAAATCGAGTCTTATTGGCAATTTGGCTACTGGTCAAGTGATCAAACTGCCTTTTGGCCAGGTCCTGAAGGAATGAGTTAGGCAAATGACAAGTGGTGAATTTAATATGGATTTGACACATATTATATTATTAGTGGTTTGGGATGGGTTTTGTTGATAACCAATTTGTCTCGTAAAGTTTTGCCTACACGCAACCTACTTGTTGAGGGTCAAAATTCAATTAGTTCCAACGCTTTTCTCTTCCTATAGTGTGAAAAGTGAATGTTGTATGGTTGGAGAGAAACGAAAGAAGGGGAAGAGGAAGAGAAAGAAACAGAAGAAAAATGATATCATTTTATTTTATTTTTTCATTTAGTTAAATTAAAATTAAAAAAAAAAGAGAGAGTAAAATCTCCTTCTCTCGAATTTATTTGTTATTTAAAAGGAAAATTTCTCCTCTTTCTTTTTTTCTTCTCTCCTTAAATCAAACGAATTATAAAGCTTTAAAGTTTAACGATATTTGTTCTTAAATGAAACTATTAATTGTTTTTTATAAGTAATTTCTTGCAAGTATTCCATGACCTTATAATGAACTAACTTCTCAATTTTTTAATTAGAGTTCAAATTTAAGAAATTAAAAGCAAGTTTGGATTTAGGAGAAATAAGGGGGAGGTATAAGAGAAATGATTTCTTTTTTTTTTTCGAAAATCATTTCCCTTCTTATCTCTTCTCCCTATTTTTCTCCCTAATTTGTTTATTATATGAATTTAATTTTTAATTAAAAAAAAAAAAGAGACAAAAATCGAGTCGGAGCTTGCTGTGAATTAGGAAACCACAAGGACATTTATTTGAATTCTTAGCTGCTCTCTTGCCTCTAATCTCGATCCTTCCAAAGGGCTTGGTGAAGGCATGAAGAAAGAAGCTAATTGATGCAACATTTTTGTTGTCTTGTTTTTTGTAGGCTAGCATCTTGTGTTTGCCATAGCAAACGGATGAAGAGGGTAAGTAAATTTCAACCACAAAATTGATAATATACCCTTTTCTTTTCTGAGGAGATAGAAGACATAATTGGATGAAATGTAAACATTTGTTAATTTTTCCTCAAGTAGAATTGTTAGCGCTGATTGTTTTACAATAATAGTATAAACATGTAAAATTATAATCTTACAATAATAGTATATTATTAAATAATCGTGATGTATTATTGAATGAGTAAATATATATAATATTATAAATATATTTTGAAAAAAAAAATTAATTATATAATAATATATTATATTATAAATTTACAATGACATTTAATATTACAACTATTTATTTTAAACTACGCTCCAACTTTCAAAACCACAAATTAAGAAATTAAAATAATACAAAGAACAAAATGCTGCCACTTTGGTTGGTTCATGCGTACCAGAAAAGCTAATTCCACCCAGTAGGCAACTCAAGTGATTGGCAAAGTTCGCCAAATTTAAGTAAGATAAAAATTGAATATAGAATTTAAAATATTCACTTAAACCGAATCGAAAATTCTATATAGATGAAGATTCCAGCAAGGTAAGGTTGATAATACTACTTAATTTTCTACTTTTTGGCTTTACTTTTACCATTCTATTTGGGTCATGTCAAAGATTGCAGTCTTCCATAGCTGTTTGCCATATTTACATTTGAGTGTAATCTTTCTAATTCTTACTTTTTAAGGAGATGGCATAGGAGAAGGGAAAGTAAGTCACTAATAATCTTAACTGATAATAGAATTTCATAACCTGTGTGATTGACTATTTTTTACCCAAATTATACGCATCAATCAACAAAACTAGAACTAAGGTCTAAACAAATTAACCAAATGTCAATTTCTTAACTAACATAGATTGCTAAAATTAAGAACATATGGATGTATATTCACATTCTTAACGCCAAGTAGTTTGTCAAAATCATTTGACAATCCATCCTCAGATACTCCTCTTCAGAGGTTTTATATAATCCTCTAGAAGCACTTTTGGATTGTATAAAATTAGTTTACAATTAAAACCAATTATAAATTAAGGAGGCCCCTAAATGCGAAGATAATCCTTTTATTTAAGACTTTTTTTTTTCTTTTTACACAGTTTGCTAAAAACCACGCTGAGACTTAAAAAAAAAAAAGGAAAAATCCATTCTTTGAATGTGAAGATCCTCTTGTTTAAAAGTGGATAATCCTCTTATGTAAGTTTTTATTATATATATTTTTTTACGGTGCAAGTTGGAATGAGACGGAAAAAGAAAATGCATTGCAAAATGGATGGGGCCCAAACTATTCTTCCAGAATAAGTAGATCCATAATCTTTGACCACGTAACCATATGGGCAAAACCGTCACTTCATAAACAAAAGTTCCCACTTTCAGTGTTTTTTTTTTTATAAAAAAAAACAAAGAATAGTGATAAAATTATTCAAAATTATCTAATGGTGCTAATATTTTATGGTTTTTTATTTTTATTTTTTTGCCTTTATGTATTAAAGGTTTTTTCATCAGAAATTTATATGAAAAATATAAAAATTAAAATTAATTTTAATATATTTATTACCTCTTGATATTTACCTTTAAAAACCCTTACTTTAATTCGAAGAAACTTTATAAATTCTTTTTTGTATTTTTTTAGTTCTTATTTTAGTTTCGGAAGGTGGAATATTTAAATGGTTTGGGCTTGGCCAACGTAGGGACCTTTTCAATTTTAAAAAATAAAAATAATTTCCCCCTCAGAAGTAAATGGAGCTGAGAACGACACGTGTCGGTAAAAGCCCCTCAAGGATCAACCGGGAATCGTCCTTTCAGGACAAACCGAGGTACTGGAATTTCAGGTTGACGGACCTGTGACTGTTGATTACCTCAAAGCACGCGCTCCGGACTCCACGTGTCCGTGGGGTCACTTTCCTTATTGTTCCGGATTGAAATTCCGGGTTCTTGTCGTTAGCGGTTTTGAACAATTTCGTAACTGTCCTGTCAGGTGATCAATGCCTAACAAAGATTATTTCGATTCACACAGTTCGGAATTCAACCCCTCCACTGCCGACCTCACTCACGTGCAGTTCACACGCCCTTAATATTTGGATTCTCATTGGTCCGTTGATTTACGCGCTAAGGGTTGACGTGGTCTTGTTTGACACTGAAAAATAGACGAGATGAATCCGTGTGTAAACCTGGAGTTGGTCTGGATGACACTTATCACCGTTGATCTGGCGTCAAGGAAAAACGAACGGTGGTGATTTGATGATCACATGGTGGATATACACGCGTGGGTTTACATTTCACGTTTCTTCTGCATTAAATAAATTGCAAAAAAAACCGAAAACCCACCAAAAACCAGGAGGTTCATTGCTAGTTGGATTTAGGAAACCTCCGTTTCCTCTCTCTGTTAAATTCATCGGAATTCTTTTTCTCTTTCATGCATTTCAAGAGTTGAGTGTTCTCTGTTTCTCTCTGAATCCGAGGAGAAACGAAGGAAGGAAGGATGGCATCTGGGTTTTCCGGCGGTGGTCCGGACTTTTACGGAGGAATCCCGGGGAGATCTATGGGGAATTCTGGGACCATGGGGAATAACCAGCCGGCGGCGCCTTACCGAACGCAAATCCCAGGGATGTTTATGGACTCGACGCCGCAGATCATGAACCAACCAGCACCTGGTTTTATTGGGAAGAGAAATCTGGGTGACTTCCAAACGCAGAGTAGTATCTTCCTCCGGGCTGTTAAGCCAAGGATGGAACAACATGCGTCGCCGATTTCTCCGCTTTCTCCTATTGATTTCCCTATGGTTTCCAGGAATTTTGGTTCCCCTGTTTCGTCTGCTCCCATGTCGCAGCGATATGGGGCGTCGCTTTTCCAGCAATTGAGGCCGCAGCCTATTTCTATGGCCGGGTCTGTGCCCACAACACAGCCGGAGAATCTGAGTGCTTTTTCAGGGGTTCCGTATGTGAACCCGGGTCAAATACGGGTTGCGCCGCTGGAGCCGGAGAAGAAGATGATGAATCGGCTTCAGGAGTTGGAGAAACAGCTGTTGGACGACAACGACGATGAAGGGGATGCCGTTTCTGCGATTACGAATACTAACAGCGAGTGGTCAGAGACAATACAGAGCCTGATCAGCACGAGTCCGCAGACAATTTCCACCTCGCCCACATCCTCCTCTACATCGACGTCTACCTCATCGTCATCGGTGGTTTCCCCGGCTACGAACTGCTCGAAGCAGACCGTAATAGAGGCTGCATCGGCAATTTCAGAGGGGAAAATGGACGTCTTTAACGAGATCTCCACGCGACTGGCTCAAGCCTCGAACCCAAAAGGTAATTCAGAGCAGAGGCTGATGGAGTATATGACATTGGCCCTGAAATCACGTGTTAACCGGGTTAAGAACCCACCCCCGGTTACAGAGTTGCTCAGCCAGGAACACGGTGCGGCAACACAGTCTCTTTTTGATCTCTCCTGGTGCTTCAAGCTTGGTTTCATGGCTGCCAATCTTGCGATTCTGGAAGCCACTCTCGACGGCCAGCCCAACTCTAACAAATTTCATGTAATCGATTTTTCTATCGGCGATGGAGCGCAGTACGAGTATCTCTTTTACGGACTGAGTCAGAGCAGCAAGCCGGCAATGGTGAAAATTACCGCCGTCGCAGATAATGTTAGGGAGGAGAGGTTGAGGCCTGTTGGGGAGATGTTGAGTGGATTAGGAGAGAAGTACGACGTTCCTATGAAGTTCAACGTCGTGGGGAGTCCAAAACTCTGCGATCTATCTCGCGAATCGCTCGGTTGCGAACCGGACGAGACACTCGCCGTGAATTTCTCATTCAAGTTGTACCAAATGCCTGACGAGAGCGTGTCGATTGATAATCCCAGAGACGAGCTTCTCCGGCGCGTGAAGGGACTGGCGCCGCGGATAGTCACATTGGTGGAGCAAGAAATTAACACCAACACCGCGCCGTTCCTGACGCGGGTACGAGAAGCAACCGCGTACTACGCAGCGCTGCTCGAGTCTATCGACTCGACCGTGCCAAGGGATGGCACGGAGCGAGCAAAG